CTATTTGATATGAGATTTATTCACCCAATTTGGTTAAAGGTGTGAATTTCAAGGAAGGTCAGGCCTTTTTTCATACCACATTATTTGGTGGGATTGTCGATGAAGCAAGATTATATTTGCTATAACAATAGACGACATCACTTTATTCGTAAGTGAGTAGGTTTTCGAGACTACTAGTAAATCATATATGTATGTTGTGTTCACCCTATTTCATTCAAAACGATTAAGGACTGGTAGTTGAAGCTTCCCACAATGATATGAGTAGAGCTGACGTGTCAATTGAATTTTGCATAGTCCTGCTTTCCTTCATAACCTTAAACGAAATAGGGTGAATACATCTGATATTTCTGATTTACTGGTAGTCTCAAAACTCTTCTCAAACACGAGAAATATTTGATGCCGTATTACCTAAAAAATAATGAAAATATTTCAGACATTGTATCTTTGTTTAAACATTTGCCAAATATTATATTTATAGTTTCTAAACTAGTAATGCGAAGAACATATGGCCAACACGTTTAGCTTGCTTCTAAATTCTATTTAAATAAAGCGCATTCATTGTTGCACGTCTGAACTATTTTAAAAGTCTTATGCTAATGGGAGAAATTAAGGTATAATTGAACGTCTAAGATGACTGTTTGCACTCCATGGTCGAAATTATTTATATTGTGAAAATAATTAATTTGGTCTGAGCTATTGATATAATAATTCTGTAGAGTAATCTATTCCAAAGATTTCTCGAAATTCACATCATACAGGCAAAGTCTGAAAGTTGTATAACCAAACAAAGCATAAAATAATGATTTACAAATGTGGTTAATGCTAAAATATAGACTTGAAATTAGTTTTCACGTTTATCCAGTATCATTTCTGTAACTAATAACATTAGCTGTAGTAGATATTAATTAAATTAGCCAGTCACATTCTTAATCTTGAAATAATAATCGATGATATTTTTGGTTACCCTATTATTAGAAAAGATGAAATTAGCAATTCTAGTTGAGCTTTGTTCTAATTTTAAGTGTTACCAGTATTAGGTTTGCTTTGTGGTAATGATCAAGAAGAGATAGGATATAGTTATTGTTCCAATTAACTACTTAAAATCCTGGGTAACTATGATATCTATAGGGAAAATATTATTTTTCTTGGATATTTTTAAAATCGCACTTCAAAAGTCATTTGGCATTTGATGTTTGTCTATTGGCCATCATAAAGGCTGGCTTTTTTTTCAACTAATCGTGAAGCTTCACATGGTGAATTGCCTAGGAATTTCTTGCCATTTAGGCCAAAAGGTCTTCTGCATCAAGCCTAGTCTGTAATTATGGTCCCATCTTGGTCTCATCAGCAGGTTGATGAGAGAACAAATTAGCTCCCCATCTCGATTATATGATATAACAGCAAATTGATCCCAGTTATGTGGGGAATTCTGCGTCGAAATTTAAAAGTGTGCTTGCCATCAAAATCTCTTATTGTTTCATCGAGCTGCTTGATGGGTAAAGTATTTTTCTCATACTTCACATATCCATTGCTCTGGCATCTCTGGATTTGAGGATGAAATACTGAAAAACTGAGACAGCCGTCCAGTCTAACTGAGAGAGGCTTATAGGATGCAGGACAAAATGGAATTCAATGCAAAACTAGCAGAGACTTGATTAAGTCCACTAGTAAACTAGTCAGAATTGGTACAGCCTATGCATATATACAAATTTGGAAAATTTATATAAAAGCAAAGTACACAAAATATTATTATGGCAAAATGAGTATTATTTATCAGGGTCTGCATTTCTCTGAACCTAAATTCTATAAAATAATATTATAACATGTTAAAAATGATTGTAAAGACACTAAATTTAAGATGAAAAGCTTTATGACAGAATGAAGAATAAGTCTAACAGATAATTGCTGCCAAAATGCATATATAAATGGTTACATATTTTTTTAAGCATCCACGTAGTTATAAACTAAAAAAATAATTTTTAACGCTTAAATCTTATAAGATATAGGAATTTAATATATATTGAATATATTAACCAGGACTAAATTAAAAGGGAAAATAATAACCCGCAAATTAACTGCAATACTTGTGACACGATTTTGCATTTCTAAGCAAAATTTAACTGGAAGTAATTTGTGATGTGATCTCATCGGAAACCGAAGAAGGATTTCCATGTGAAGAAGATTGTTGTATTGTGCGATAAAGGCCTCGGGCCATTGTTCTGCGACTCCGGTGAACCTGTGCTAAGCTATCGCATGTCCCTTCGTGACAGACCTCATTAAGACAAGAATTCATACTTTACGTAATAGAGCAAAAATATACTATTTTCTCTTAGTTTAGTATATATTTTTTCTCTGGTTCCCTACGCGGCAATCCTCCTTCAGTTTCCGATGAGAGCACATCACATATCTCTTGCAACTGACTTCTTCCAAATGGAAAGTCATGTGACAAGGAATTCTTCGATACCCAATCTTTTTTCATAAAGGCAATGGTATTTTTCGCGAATAACAGCCAGTTCCAGAGCTGCTATAATTGTATACATTATAGTTTTCTCTTCTTTTCTACTTAAGTACGTATAATTACAGCCTCGTTACAGATACGAATTAGTTCAAAGTCATGCTGATGACCAAATTACACTTACATAATAGGATGCCGTCATCTCAATAGTAGAGTCAATTTGGGGCTGTGTATTTAACCGAATGACTAAATTTACTCGATCCGATAATTACGTCTTCCAAACCTCACAATAATTGTATTATGATTTTAATCATTTACAATAAGCTTCATACTAGCCAAATGGTAGTTTAGCCCTGGTTACATGCGATTCGGCTCGATCAATTACGGTTGGCGACAGTTAAGCAATCCTTTACACTTGTGGTGGACATAAAGTGTCTTTCAGAAGGATTTTAGAAGTACTTTTCTCATGTGATTGCCTCTTTTTGCATTACTATTCTAATATGTAGTAGAATTTTCCCACATTGGTATTAGTAGAATTGACGTTTCATTGAATTTTACATAGCCTTGCTTTCCTGAAAGTTGTACTTATCCTGGCTGGAGGAGACTGCAGTTTCGAACTCAAATCGGTCTTATCAACACCCTCAGCGGAAGTCGAACTGTGACAGTGCAGCATGTGAACTTGACACGTCAACCACTCGGCCCCATTGCCACGAGTGTCCTTTAGTCATAGAGCAGATGGGAATTTCAAGGAAGACCAGGCCCTTTCCCACATCATATTCTTTGTGGGATTGTTGATGAAACAAACATATATTTGCTATAACAATCGACTACGTTACTTATTTTTCGTATGTGAGCAGAGTATAGAGACTACCATTAAATCAAATATATGAGATGTATTCACCCTATTTCGTTTAAGGCGATGAAGGACTGGTAGTAGAATTTTCCCACAACAATATGAGTAGAGCTGATGCTTTCATTGAATTTCACATAGCCTTGCTTCTCTGGATGAAGATAACTTTTGGGAAAGCAAGGCTTTTTGAAATTCAATGGAAACATCAGCTCTACTCATATCATTGTGGGAAAATTCGACTACCAGGCCTCCATCACCTTAATGAAATAGGATGAATACAGCTCACATTACTATTTTCCTCCATGTAATTTAATAAAATGGAGAGCAAAATATCATGCATAATGGGGCGCAAGCTCTACTCCGAGCTTGATCTACTTATCTTAGCCACTTTCCCTAGAAATTCTTTTCTCTTCATATACGTACGTTTTTATGGTTAAGATAAATTAATCTTTATCCAACACGATTAATAGTTAAAATTGGTTAAAGAAGACCTTTTACTTGTGTCTTCACAAATAATAGCTTTTTTAACCAACAACTATGACGACGATCCCCATAAATCGCGATTCGATATTTTGTCCGAGGTCACTCGAAAAATTACTGTTACACTGATCATCTTTTGAAGCACAGTACAGTCGATTTGCGTTCTTACAATAGTAAACAACGTATAAACCATTCTGGTTTCCTACCTACAAACTTTCTTGCCGATGGCGGACGCGCATTTTCTCTTTTACCCCTTATACGAAAGTTTTCACATTTATCAGTCCTTCTCCATCCGTTATCTGTTTCGAGACGAAAATATTATAGAAGGATTGGCCATTTTATGCACGTATGATTTTAACTCATTCTAATTCTACTCTATCCAGTAAGGAAACTAGAAACGTTCGTTTCCTCACCATATGGAAATTTCCATGAATTTTTCGAATGCTAACAACAAAAATAAACAGCGCATAAACTTAGAAACATCGCTTTCCGGTTCACTTGTATATTCTATAGGAACGATATTTTACCAGTGTCTCTCCGGGGGATACTGAACTTCAAAACAGCTTCACAGCAATTCTGTTCTATAGAGAGTGTAAGCCTAGTGAAATGTTGACGCTGAATAAATTAGTAAAACTGTTTTATCAGCAGTGTGAATTGAATATTTATTTTTAAGTGCATCCTTATAATTATATTAAATATCAACTTAAAAATAACTCCTTTATCACTTTAATGATCAAACTGTCAACGTTATAACAATTAGACAAAATAAAAATCCTTTTATTAAAGAGAGGGCTTTCATTATGCCAAAATAAATACTTTATTCTCAATGTCTAAATTAACAAAGGTCAAAATGTGGATACATCATTCTGTTGTAACAAGAACTGAAGGATTTTGTTTTAAATAAATGCTCTAATGCTATTCGACTGTAATATTCTCTTGAATATTCGACAGCTCCTCACGAAAAATAACGATAAATTCTAACTTACCTAGTTATTTTTTATGTAATAAGGAGAACATATTCTTTATGGCAAATTGCTTGACGGGTTTATGAGTTAATATTCAAAATAAAAAGGCACCACTGAGAAAATTAATTTGACTCTATAAAATCTTTGCTTCATTTTTTATTTAACAAATATGCTCAGTGATATTCATTTTAATGTATTAAGACTTATACTTATAAATCAGAGACTAATCGCATTATACTAAAAATATCTTATTTCACTCAACCTGAAGATGAAATTTCCCATTCAAGTCGGCGTGAAGCACCGAAACATCCTGGGACTTTTCTCTTGCATCCAACTCAACCTTCATTTCTCCGGTTGCTTGATCAACCCAAACTGTAGGCAACCCTTGCGCTTGAATGCGAATAAGGCAAGGATATGCATCAGACGAGCTGCCAACATCTCGTGCAGAAGATAAATTGCCAGAATCTTTATATACTACACTTGATAAGGGTCTTGAAGATTGGCTGCAATATGTAGATTTATGTGATTTAGCTGAATCTCGTGGAGTAATAATTCCAACCTCATTAGTTAAGGTAGCACTGTGTTGGCAATCAGGTACTACTCCAGGAAGCAAATTGGTCATGGAAGGATCCAAGATATCAGCTGGCTAAAAAGGATTTAGGAAATGCAATAAACACATACAATGAAGTAAAAACAGCTATTGAAATAGTATTCCGTCTGCCGAGCTCTAGGTTTTATGAGGTTATCTACATAGTGGAGTGTATAATCATAAGAAAAATTATTAAAAAAGTAAGCCCGTATATGAGTAAATAAGTAAAATATCAGAAATAATGAGAAAGTTTTGGCGCATTCAATAACTTGATTGAGCCACGAAAGCCTTCCTTTGCTTCATGTCTTATTCATAAATTGTATTCAGCCATGGGTATACACGAAAAGACTTTGTGGACAAGATTTGATGGCATTGACCCTGGTAAGCTATGGAAGCTTAATTTCAGATTATGATCAATGAAAGAGAAGTTGGAAGCGAAAACTAGATAGCCTAACCCTTTAGAAGAAGGCAAAGATTAAAAAAGAGGAAGAAATGAGCTATTAAAACTGAAGGTTAACACGCGATAAAAACGACAAGAAATTTTAAGAATATAAAGCAAAATCTTTGTCTAAATTTGGTTGGAGAAAATCAAAATTTAAAATGGGTTCAGAAAAATGAAGAATCTAGAC